CAGCCCCTCAGCATTTTACGGGCAGACGCCCAGCTTAATGAAACTTTGAACTCCAGGTTCTTAAGTGGAACTGGAAACATTTTCCCTTGGAGATAAGGATGAGTGTGCAGACCAGGTCACAACAGCTAACCCTAATGGAACGCATCTCCTGTCGAACCATCCTACAATTTGACAGCAAAATAACGATTGGTTAACAGTGTCACTTTGAGGTAGAATGACAGGATTCAAATCTACATTGTTGCTGTGTAATCCTGAGTGTACACTATTTAATGTAAATTTTATTTCCTTTCAACTGCAAAATAGGGACAGTACCTGTGTCATATAAATTTAAAGATTAATTGGGATGTTGTGGTGCACAACGTCCAACACAAGAAACCACCTGGTAAGTTACATAGTCATAGATATTAAACACAGACAAGTAAAAAATCAATTTCTAGGGAAAATGTCTTCCAGGTTCAGTTTGGCTAAATTACCTTTCTACAGTTCTCTCCGCAGTTCTACAGACAACAGCTACCCCCTGCTACGCACAGAGAGACTCTCCCATCACAGACCACCTTTCCTGTCTATTGGACCAGAATGGAATCTTCACATCATTTTGTATCTTTCTCAAAACTCCTTTCAGAAAACATTCCTTGACTGTCTACAGATAACTTTGATATCTAGTTCCTTCCTCACTAAAATATTCAGTGGTTTCCGGATGGTTTGTATTTGTTGCTATGATGCTTTCTAAATCCTGCATTTCCCCATCATTCCCTTTCCTCTTGTCCACAAAGTTTTAATTTCAGAGGCTGGTACCATTTCACTCCTAGCCCCATTTCCATCACACATTGCCTATGATATGAGGAGCCACTTGCTGTCTTATAACTGATCTAAGTCCCTGCCCAGCACAGAGCATGAGAAACCATCAAGCTCTTCATTCTGAGAACAGATGACAGCTTTACGTTTAGGAAAAGGAAAACAAAACAAAACAAAACAAAAAACCACCTAGAGAAGACTATACTAATACCCATAGATTAAAGAGAGAGAGTCGCAGGCAGGGACCTGGACACACACCTGGTCTACTTACACTGAAGGAAAAACCCCTTCCGGATAATAAGACACACATCTATGAGCATCATCTAATATCCCAGACCATGAGCCTGAAGTGCAGGTGCAAAGGCAGAGGCCTGAGCCTGAGGAGCTTCTTCTCCGGGAAGAAAGAGGCAAATGACAATCCGAGGCCAAGATTCACCTCTAAGAGCAAACAATGGGCTCCAACTTCTGCACAGAATAAGGACACTGCAGAGAGGTTGGGAGAAAAATGTATGCTGCCAACAACACCTGGAGTCTCTTGGAGGGAAATACCTAAGTGAGCTACTCTGGAAGCCTCAGCCCCATTAAGCATTTCAACTGGGGAACTGGAAAGAGTACTGACAAATGGAATGCCAAATAAACATTAACTTGCAAGTGCATCAATGAAGAGAAAAAGGAGAATGACTGGACTCAAAAGAGATCAGGTGGACAGACTTATCAAAAGAAATGAGGTTCTGAAAACGATCGCAGGGCAAGTGTGAAGGTAGAGGTGAGGTATGTGGGAGCGCGCATGTGCAGGTGCCTATGGGTGCATGTGTGCCCTCACAGCACATCCCTCCAACTGGGCATCTGCTCTGTGGCAAGAACCTGAAGAAAGGTAAGGTGGTATCAAACCAGGACAGGTGTCACTATGAACTGAAAGGGCGCAGCAGGAAACTGACATGAACGGCAAGTGTCCACAGCCCACTGACAATATCTGAACCCAATTCTAGTTGAGTGGACAAAAGGAACTTGAGTTTGTGTACTTAAATTAAGAGGAAGGATGGAAGTCAGTCAAAATTAAAAGCCAGTTTGTGGATTCCAAATGGTGGTATGCATTCCACAAGTGGTACACAAAATAATTCTAAGGTGGGATATGGATGACCACTTTCCATCTTAATGATTATGTATTTATTTTAACATATATTAGAGAATAATACAGTGAGATCACTGAAGTCATGTTTTTAGAGATCTTATGTATCAGGATGAAGCCAGGGAAAGAAGTGAGTTGCTTTAAGGTTAACTTAAAGAAGTATATTAAATAAGTCCCAGTGAGCCACATGAGCTATGTGGCTGTAGCACAAATGGTCAATGAGAGGTTAGGTACGTGACTGGCGTTTAAGCACTGAGCGAAGTGTGTCAGGAGGCCTCAAACTGAAATCACTATTATATGGAAATACATACTTTTTTCCACAAATTATATTTGCATAATCGTTACCTGTACTTTAATGCCAAAGAGTGAATTCAGCAAAGTGCTGGGAAAAAGTTTTCTGTCTTTGTCCACAGACCAGACAAAGGGAAAGGTGAATTGTGTGAAAACTTCACAGTGCATTATCATCTGCTCACCCAACAGTGATGGGTGGCTGGATTACAACCTGGGAGGGGGCAGGTCCCAGCAGAACCTTCCAGCTCCTAGCTCAGTCTTCCTCAGTCAACTCTCCCACTGGCCCCCCACAGGGTGCCCCTCATGCCGGTTTGGATAGTATACTAGCTTCCCAGAAAAAAGGGGTCTCTAAAACAAACCAATATATACACACAGACACATATATAAATTGCAATTAAAGAACACACAGACTTGCAGTTATAATGTTTATTCTCTGAGAAAGGAGGGAAAGTTAGACTCCCTACAAATATCTGAGCCTACCTGTATGCGCCGGTCGTGTTTCCAGGGAGCATTTCCTAACATTAAGAGAAAGGCCCTATTGTTCACACTCTTCCCCTTTTGCATCCCCTGTCTACCATCTGCAGACATGGACAGAGCAGCTTGCTCTGCAGCTGAGACAGTCCTGCTTTCACACATCCTTAACTTTCATCCGTTGCCTTGTGTGATAAAATTAATCTTGGACAAAGATCTAGTTGATTTTCTCCTCATCTCCATCATCATTCTTATGAGCTCCCAGACAATGCTTTAAAGCCTGTTCCAACGCTGCTGCTGCTTCAGTCTAACTACATACCCAGCACTATTTTAAGCTTAGGGGAATTTACCAATACTGTCTAGCCTCTCCTAATCTACACTGTACACTGATTAGTACAAAACATTAGGTGACCGTGGCTGTCCTGGAAACCTGAGAAGCACATTACCCCATAGCCTGATGCCTCATTCATGCAGCAGGTGTGAGTGAGGCCAGTTCTGTTCCAAGTGTTCCCTGGTACACTCGCAGGGTCCCAGGCCACGTGCAGAACACACTGAGAGTGACCCCAGCCAGATATATTTAAAAGGAACACAGGCCACTGTGAGAAGGAAAGCCAATCCCAGGACAGGGTCAAAGTCCTGAAACCTTGTATATCTGTTGACCTAGAAATTCTTCTAAGAATTTATCTAAAGAAATGTTCATGAAATAAGAGCAGATTTAGTTACAAGGATGTTAATAGTAGCTTTACTTATAAAAGCAAAATATTTGAAACAACCCGAATGACACTAAATATAGCAAGGTACAGCCACATGATGAGATTCAATGACATCTTTAAGTGCAGTAAGGGTTTTGGGATGGGGAAGGTTTGCTTTTAGGAGTTATGGTAAGGAAGGCCATTACTTTAGAAATACAAGGGGATTAAATAACCACCTTTTTTTTGTGACACGAAGAAAGATACCAATCCAGATATGAAGCCTCTCCTCTTCAAGGGACTGTCCTGCCTCTGTCCCTCTACTGTACCTCACAGAAATGAGTAATAATAATGATGATGATGGCAATACCAGTGCCATCACCACCCAGCATTTACTGAGCACTGACTCTGCATCTGGCAACGTTTGAAGGGTCTTAATCCTCAGAATGACCCCATGAAATAGAAAGCATCAACCCTATTTTGCAGAAGAGGAGAATGGGGACCTGAGATATCAGGTAACTTCCCAAGCCACACATCGCTGATGAGCAGCAGAGGCAGAATCACACCCAGACGACCCAGGCCAGAGTGTGTTTAACCACTGTGTTCCGCTGCCTCTCTCAGTGTAGGTCTCTCTAAGGAAGCAGCTGTGATGCTGACTTACATTTGTAGTCACTTGTCTACTTTCCTTACCCAGTTTTGAACTCCTTAAAGCCAAGGTCCCATGTTGATATTCCCAGTCCCTGGGAGGTGTCATGTAAATGTCAGCTGCATGAAAGAACCAGACTTGGTTATCTGTGTGTGATTAAACAGTAACCAATAATGGTAGTAGCAGCTCTCAGTAATTGGCCCTTGCCATGTCCCAGGCCTTATGCCAGATGCTGAAATGCATAATTTCATTTAATGCACATAACTTCCTATGAGTGGGTCCTCTTATCTCGATTTTACAGATGAGCAAACGGAGGCGCTCTCAGAGCAAAGGCTGAAACAATACTGTATATTTTAGGGGTCAGTACCTGATCATTGCAAAGAACTCAGAAATCCTGAGATGAAAAACAGATGTGATATAATTGTGGTGATAACACGCTGGTATTTGGAACAAGTGGGGTATTGTTCCCTAATTAATTCACTAATGAATTTCAAATATTTTTAGGTGTCGACTCCATGCCAGGCACCATGAGAGGTGGAGTAAAACATCAAGCTGAACAAGGTGCCACCCTCACAGAGTCACATTCTAGTAGGGCATGTGACTCACACTAATGGGTATTTCATTACAACTGAGAAAAGGAAAGCACACTGGCTCTATGGGAATTGCTAACAAAAGGGGAGCTGAAGAAGCAGTGCCTGAGCTCAGCTCTTATTGTGTCGGAGCAGGAGGAAAAGAGACTCAGCTGTTTGTTCACAGGAGATCTGGAAAGAGAATCCTCAGTGGCAGCCCTTCCCTTTCATTCTCCCGTCCTATCAGGGTTACTCAGCAAAGGCACCTGGGAGGGCACAACGATACAGTCTTCAAGGACACAAAAAGCCAGCAGCACACAGAGAAGAGCTGGAAGTGTCCACCCTGAGCCGCGGCAGGTAGCATGGAATGTCCCTGAATGCCGCGCTGGCCCTACGCAGCAGAGACTTACGTTTCTCTGCGGACTGAACGGTGTGGAAGAGCGTCAGGGGCCTCTCGCTGCAGGACGGGGGCTTGGAGTCACTGCTCTTCTTCCGAGACAGGTGCAGCTGGGCATTGGTGAGAGGCATATCGGGCACGGTGTTAAATATCTGCAAACAAAGTTTCACAACAAGGTTACTCACATCTGTGAACTGGGAAGAAAACAGGCCTGAAGCAGTACAACGGAACGCTTGGCAGTGTCTTGGAATCAGCAAGAAAAGATCTGAGAAGACCACTGGCAGTTGCTCAAGACTTCATTTTAAACATTTCTAGGAAATGGCATTAAACATTTTCTTTTGGAAGCTTATCCCAGAGTTTGATAACCACCCACTTCCATTTCTAACCTCTTCTGCCACAATTTCCACTGAGCGGCTTTTCATTGTTCTCTCCAGGGAAACAGAAAGCAGCTGTGCTCAGTAGAAGCCACTGTCTGTTAACAGCACTTGAAGTTTTTGACTACCTTTGTCCAGAACCAATGAATCAAAAATTCCTTTATCTTTCTTCATTGGTTCTAAGTTCTTAACAATTACTTCATAACTTTCTTAAACTGTGAAACATGGATTTAAATAACATTTCATAAAGGGCCCCAGGGCAGGGCACCATTTCCCAATCCTCATCAGTTGTCCTCAGCTGCAGCATCCTTTTCTAGTTCAGCAGTTCCACGTTATCTGTGATGCTGAGCTTTTCCTCGTTTATCTTGATAAAAGTATCATACGCATACACACACACACACACACACACACACGTACTATGGACAATTTGAAAAATGCAGAAAAGTCTCCAGAAGAAAACAAAAAATTATCCCGATTCTACCACTTAGAGATAACCACTGTAAGCATTTAGGTCTTATTTAGTTATAAGCTTTTTTTTGGAAGAGGGAATTTTATTCTTCTAAAAGTTTATGCTAAAAAATGATAGACAGAAATCATGATAACTCTCATCTTTATTTCTACAGATAAAAGTATGGCAGACTTTAATAATTATAATAGCTAATACTTACATGGTGCTTACCATGATTATAGTAGCCGCCACTTATTGCAGACTCCCTTAGGTACCAGTCATCATACTGTGTTCTTTTCATGTAGCCCACTCAGTTCTCAGCAATCCTGAGCAACAGGTAATGTCCTCAGCATTTTATAATGAAGAACTAAGTCTCAGGGAGGTTCAGTAGCCACAATTGTAGATACAATTTCAGAAAATAACAGTTTTTTCCCCCAGATTCCTTTTTAAATGCATACAATAATACTGATGCTCATTCATTCAATCAACACACACCTTTTAAGTATCTCCTTTATAGTAGGCACTCTGGGTGTAACAATGAAGGAGGCAAACATGTTCTGTGGTTAGAGAGTCTGCCTTCCTGTAGCTATGGTTTACTGAGTCCTTGTCACACCAGGCACTAAGTTAAATGCTTTATATGAATTATCCCAGTTGATGTTAACACACACTTTTCATCATTGAAATTATATTCTTTATTCTGTTTGTATCACATACATTTCATCTAACATTATACAGTATTTCCTCATTAAAAATATCTTCAGACATGATCCTTAATGGCTGCATAACACCCCCACTATATATTGAAAAATCAAAATTTATGGATCCATTCATTACCATCTCTTACTCTTTGAAGTTGGTCTCCTCCCTCCTGAGTTTTCTCCTTCCTAACAGTCTCTGATGTGTCTAGGGCCACTTTTCACCCATGAGTGGCCCTAGACACATCAGTCTTTCTCATGGTTCTCTCTCCTTTTCTGTGTGCATTTAAAAACACAACTCAAAAGCTGATATGTAGGAAACAAAATCATAAGAATTATAAGAATTTCAGCCCAAACAGCTGCTCTCCATGGGTTGGCGGGTCCTCGGGCTCCAATGATGCCAGCCAGCTGGTTAAATCAGTCTCACTCCTAAACACAGCTGTCTGAAAACAGCAGTATCATATTTTCCCTAGAGGACTGAAAATTTTCAACAAGATAAACTGAATCACTACACGTAGCTGAGTTCAACTGGGGCAAGGGAATAAGAAGAGAAGGAAACAAAGTAAAAGCAAGAAAAAACTCCTAACTTCCTGACCAGCTGGGAACCCAAAAACAAGTTTACCAGTGCTACAAACATCTCCAGTCTCCTAGTGAGCCTCAACAACAGAAAGAAAAGCTCAAGGACTGCAACCTCTAAGAAGCTTTCTCCTACTCTTTATTTGGTCATCCTCAGGTGACAACCTCACTGTGTACCATTATCATTGACATTTAAAAATGGCTACTAAGTATGAGTTTTGCACCTGCCAGGCACTGTGCTAGGCAGATGCATCCCATGATGCATCTCTAAGCTGGAGGCCAACAGCATAGCAAGTTGGATGGCTATCTCACAATGAGAGATTGCCTGCCCTGCCACACAACTAAGTAGGAGAGTGACCGGGAGTGAAGTCCCAGGGCTGTAGCAGCCATTCATTTGGCTAATCTCCAGGCAATCTTCACTACAAAAGCTGTTGTCCCAAACATGCGAGGATGAGTTTCAACCTAACAGTGTCTTCTAGCACCTTTCTGCCTCTGGCCTCAGTTACAGCACCTTCAGCAATCCCTAGCTAAGAGCATTTGAAAATGAATTCTGAGTTAGTGATAGGCCTGGTTCTCATTATTTTCCCTCACATCCTGCTTTGCCTCTGGCCTCCCAATTTTGTCTCTTTTTTTCTAATGAGTTATTGAAAATGAGCTCCTCACCCAATTACAATGGGAGCAAAAATAACATGGACTTCGATTTCAACTGTCAACAAAAATGCGAGCTTTTACTATTTCCTGAGAACTGTAGTAAATGCTGGAGAAACAAAGAAGAGTAACTTGTGAGGAAGGACCATGGCTTTAGACAGATGTGTGAAAAATTGCTTCCAAGATAATATTTATATACAGCAGAGCAGGAAGAGACACGAGAACAAATGAGGGAGAATTCCATTCTGCTCATCAGCTGTTTCCTCTAAAATAATTAAGTTATTCAAGCATAAGAGAATCAGCTCTGCAAGGAGATTTTTGCCATGGGCAAGAGCCATAGTCCCAGGGGCCAGTTCCCTGGGTCTCATTGTGAGCCAGGCCCAGACTCCTGAAGACCGCTGATAGGGCTATTCTCAGGATCAAATGAGATAATGTGCAAGGAAGCACACAGCAAAATGTCCAGTGCCAGACATGTGATTATCATAATTACTATTACACGTTCTTCCAAGGTACAGGGTGCCTTTGCAAATTAGATCAAGTCAGAGCAGATGACACAAACTTTCATTAATGACTCTGGAAAATCATTCCCCAAGTGACTGTTGTTTATTTAACTCTGACACTTGAACACATGCAAATTGTTTAAAAAGCCTGTTGACTGTCTGGCCACGGGTTTGCCTCTATGCTGAAAGCTCGAGTTGGGATTCTAATGAGAATCTGAATTATTCACAACTTTGTTGGTTATTCCAATCCTATTTCATTTTGGAAGGGATGATTTCAAGATAATCAAATGAAGTTTTCTTCAGTCTGCGGAGAAGAATCACTGTGCAAATGAGCCTGCTGAATGACGGAAGCAGGAGCTCATATAACCTATGAGCTGTGGATTTATGGAGCTCTACCATGTGGCTGGAACAATCTACTCATTTCATAGAGACTTCCCAAATTAACACAAAAGGGGGAGATTTATTTTCTGCCCCAAGTGCCCTGTTAATACTGTCCAAACTCACAAACTAATTCCGACTTAGTCAGGAATGTCTTAGAGATAAAAGTAAGGAAGACTGTAAGCCTTCTGGAAGCAATTGGGGAATAAAATTGTAAAGCAAAAATAGAACTCTGGGTAACTCTTCCAAGTATCCCCAATTTCAAGCTTCCTGTAAGTGGAATTAGCAGATCCATAAATACCAAGTTACTGTTTCGCCTTAAGCTGCGAGTAACAGTGGTCAGGGGTGGTTTGGCCTCCGCAGTCAGACAGACCTGGGCCGATCCTGGTTCTGCTTCTCATTCAGTAGGCAGCAGCACCTACAGCTACATGGACCTCACCATCACTGATGCTGACATCACTGCCTATCATCACATCAAATACAGGAAAGGATCTTAAGATCATCATACGGGTACAAATGAAACAGGCTTTGGAGCTAGATGGACTAGAGTTCAAATCCTGACTTTGCTACCTACTAGCTATATAATCTCAGTCAAGATAATTAACCCTTCTGTGTCTGTTTCCCTTGTGCAAGTGGGGATCTAATATCTGCCTTACAGAGCTACTGAAAAGATAATACACATAAAATGCTCAGTGCAGTATGTGGCAAAGAGTAGGCATGAGATGGTGATGGTATAAATGACAATAAAAACACAGAATTTGAGCACTTATGCTAAGTCATTTACATGGATTATTTTACTCATAATAACCCTGTAAGGGAGGTACTATTATTCTTGCCCTCTTGAGATGAGAAAACTGAGACTCCCTGAGATTCACTGATTTGTCCAAGGTCACACAGAGAAGGAGTCCAGCTGGACTGGGACCTAGATGGCTTGACTGTCTGGGTCTTAAGCACTTGTGGTCTTTATAGCTACCATTAATTTGAGAGACAGAAGACAAAATGGGAAGATGTAAGTTTTGGAGTCTGGCAGATCTGATTTTAGTCACTTACTAGCTCTGTGACCTTGGGCAAATTATAAAACTCTCTGACCTTCAGAGATCTTATCTGTAAAAAGTCCTAGGGCTGTGGTGAGGACTGAAGCACCTAATACAGTTTGACATTCAGTATTCAGAAGATATTACTGTAGTCAATAAAAAAGGAGACATACAAGAAGGGAAATAACTGGAGATTCAACAATGGATTATTTGCAGTCAGGACATGAGGATTTAATTTATAAGTGTAAATTTAATTACTGTTCTTTGCAAAACATTGATCTTAACTGCTTACAGCAACGGCAGAATTTCCTGTTCTTATTCCCTTGCACCGTCTACAAAATTTAAATTTCACTGATTCCCCTCTGGCCCATCTTGACATTGCAGAGCATTGACACTTGTGGAATTTGTTCTTATCCATGTCACATACACATTTTTAGACCTTCTTCAATCCCATCTGTCACATGCGCCTGCAATTTAAAAGGATTAGGAGTCTCCCTGT